GTCCTCGTCGTTGTCCTCGTCCAGGGCAATTGCACTGCCCTGGGAATTCTCACGGCCAACATTGCACTGGTGCATAAGCCTGTCATCAAACTCCGTTGCCTCGCTTGAACCTTGAGCCAAATCACGACCTCCCCTCACGGAGGGCGAGGGAAGATTCGCGCCCGACGGCCCACCCGGCAACTGCTTTGTCTTCCCTGTCGTCGCGGACGGCGTTTGTCGCCTGCTCTTGGAACCCGCCTCGAAGGGCAAAAAACACAGTCCGTTTGCTGATCAGGCGGCAGCTTCGAGAAGTCTTCCCTGTACCGCTTAACCACACCTAGCAGCAGGTCCATCGGACTGTTGAATTGGACCAAAGGTTTGCTCATCCGAAAAGAACTGTCGACAACAAGAAGGCAGATAGTGACGCAGTTGGCATTTGTTTTGCTGAGAAATTCTTCCGGAGAAAGCATTCGGAATTCAGTTCCGTCCCCACGCACGTCAAACGCTTTCATGGAGAAAGCCTTGACGCCGTATCCTTGGAAGAGACGCAGGTCAAGGGAGACCTTCTTGTCTTCCTTGACCCAGTCCGTCCCAGCGCTGTCGAAGACAGACATGAGGAAGAAGGTCCTAAACGTCCTCCCTTCGTAGGTCTTCCTGCCCGCCTAGGATTTCTCCACACCCCCACAACAGTACCAAGTGGCGCCATTGTCATCGCTCAAGAAGATAACATCCCCACACCCCGGTTTATGCAAACCGCCTACCCAGTCAAGAGCCCACGGTTTGTTGTTGTAAGTCTTAGACCTGTCGTACCATTTATTTTGAGCAGAGGTCGGCGCACCAGATTTACCTGCCGGTGGCAAATGCAAAACAAAGACGGGCAGGAGAACAGCAATGAGAACCACACAGAAACACTTGCACGTGGTCCGAGACATTCAAAAAGGCACGTGACCCGCCATACGCCCGCCATCTTTTCGGAAACGCTGCATACCAGACAACCATGCATGGTCGAGGGGTCCGGCGTTCCCAATCCGCCGGACCGTCGCCATCCTTTCGAGGCAGAACGTCGAGGGTTTCCATTCCGATGCCCCCCCCCTCCCCACCCAGGAAGGATGGCGGGGACAGGGCGTTTTGGGAACGCCCGACCCCCGACCGAGCACGGGTGTCGGAGGTCCTGCGTTTCCAATCCGCCGGACCCCCGTACGGAAAGGGTGGAGGGGGCAGGGCGGTTTGGGAACGCTGGACCCCCGACCGTGCACGGGTGTCGGAGGTCCAGCGTTTCCAATCCGCCGGACCCCCGTGCGGAAAGGGAGGAGGGGGCAGGGCGGTTTGGGAACGCCAGACCCCCGACCGTGCACGGGTGTCGGAGGTCCGGCGTTTCCAATCCGCCGGACCCTTGAACGGAAAGGGTGGAGGGGGTAGGGCGGTTTGGGAACGCCCGACCCCCGACCGTGCACGGGTGTCGGAGGTCCGGCGTTTCCAATCCGCCGGACCCCCGTGCGGAAAGGGTGGAGGGGTAGGGCGGTTTGGGAACGCCGGACCCCCGACCGTGCACGGGTGTCGGAGGTCCGACGTTTCCAAT